TCACATCTGTCTAGAACGAGGGTCTACAAACTTTCTCTGTACAAGGTCAGACAGCAAACATCTTAGGCTTTGTGAACCACCCGTTCTCTGTTGCAAGTACTCAACTGCCATTGTAGCATGAAAGCGGCCAAAGACAAATGTAAATAAATGGGTATGGTTGTGTTCCAGTGAAATTTTATTTACTGAAAGAGGTAGCAGCCAAATTTTGCTTGAGGGCTGCAGTTTGCCAACCCCTGCCCTGGAAGACAGGCAAATTACCTTATTAAAAAGATAACAGGCTGGTTAAGCTGCTAGCTCATTAGCAACTTAAATTCTTTCTTAGTTCTTTGGCTTTACTTAATATTTCATAGCAATGTTTACTGTGTACACTGTAAATTACTCTGACATTGCAGTGGTGTGCTAGTAAATATTTAACAGCTCGTTCTCTTAGGGGATGTAAAGAGCTTCGATGTCTAATGAGCCAATTTGTGACTTCTATGGTATGCTTGCACCAGGGCCAATTTCAAGTCATCAACATGACATCACTGGATGAAGCATGGGATGACATGCAGTCAGAGCTGGCGCCAGCACACCACTGTCTGAGGGAATACATCGGTTTAGATTACTTTGGTAGAAGTAACAGAAATCTCAGTTAGTTCCAACAATAAGTAAAATGTATTATGTTATCTAACAGGCTACACAGGGTGGCTCCAGAGTTGGTTAATTCAGTAGCTCAGGGACATCATTAAGGTCCCAGGTTCTTTTCATCATTCTGCTGTGCTGGTCTTGGCTTATTGACTTTGTCCTCAAGCTAGCTTCCTTCATGGTTAAGAGGTGGCTGCCATAGCTCCAGCTATCACATCTAGATTCAAAATGTCTACAGGAAGAAGAGGGGTTTGTTTCTTTCCTGTGTATTTTCTTATGAGCAAGGGAACATTTCACAGAGGACTCCCCTCATAGCTCATAGGCTTGAATTACTTCACACTCCATTCCTCATCATTCATTGACAGGGAAAAGGGATACCTATCCAAACCTATTCTCTGAACCAGTGGACTGGTCCTGTCTTCCCTGAAGCGAATGGCTGCCAGAGAGAGCAGATAGAGTCCAACCTGAACAAAGCCAGTGTTATGATAAAATGGAGGGAGGAGTGAGCTGTGGATTTGGGGTGGGCAACTAGCTCTGTCTACTCCCATAGGCTGTGTCTATAAAAGCAAGAATACAAGAACGGTAGATCTTTTAAATAAGAGTTTTTCTGTTGAGTGTTTAATTTTGGTGAAGAAAGTAGTTAAAGCTACTTATCCATGAGAGTCATATTTTAGAGGGACTGATCCTGAAGCTCCAGACTGTTGGAGACTCCTTTGGAAGATGGGTTTTGCTCTGAAATCTGATCTATGGCTGATCTATAGGCATATTTCAGGGAAATACCAATGGTATCATTTAAAGAACTGCAGTTGTAGCTGCATCAGGCTGCAATTCATGTAATCCTGCAGGTGTACCATCAGTGAGAATTACGTGTCTGATTAGACAAAAGTATTTACGAATTTACACCAAAGAATAAGGAAAGGCAGTGGCAGCAGTGCAGGGCGTTGGCCAGGAAAAATGGCCTTGCAGTCAGACCTAAGTTCATGTCCCATTTCTGCTGCTTCACGGTATTAATAATAATTGGGAAAATTACTTAATCTCTCTAGCCTGAGTTTCTTATCTGTAAAATAGGGACAATAATGCCTACCTTTTATGGTTGTTGTAAGAGTTAAATGAGATACTGTCTGTAATGCTGCTTACTAGCAGCTTGGCCTATGGCAAGTGTTCTTTAAACAGTTCTATATCACTGTTTTCACTTAGCCCCAACTTCATCACCAGTATTTTGGCTATTACTTAGTCCCTAGGCCAGTGATTAGCAGCATTATCATTTCTACTAATCATTTTTATTTTCTCTAAATTAGTCTTCCAATACTTTTGATGGGTTTATAATCTTCACTTGTCCACTCAGTCTCCTTTGTCCATCTTCCAACATTCACAGGATGGCCAATGAGAGGAAGACGGAGGCCCAAGGCTTCAAAGTGAGCAAACTTGAGTGGTTTCACTTAAAGTGGGAATCACTCGTATTGCCTTGGCCTCACTCCCTTTGCTCTGTGTGTGCTCTCTGAATTCACAGTTTGTTCCAGTGGCTTCAAAGATTCATGCTTGCAAAATTCGGTTATGAGCTATTTTCTTGAGGAAGTTGTGGTCTTAAAATCAATTTTTTATTAGACAATTTGGTTTGCCCATAATTTACTAGGTGGTACATAGTGTATGTTCATCAATTAATGCACATTTTGTCCTATTTGAAATGATGTTTCATTTAATTAGTGTTAAGATTTCTTCTGGTGATCATAATAAAATTGTAACAAGACACTTGCACTTGAATGTTTATTGTTGCAAAATTCACAATCACTAAGATGTGGAACTGACCCAAGTGCCCACCAGTTCATGAGTGGATTAACAAAATGTGGTATGTGTATACCATGGACTACCACTCAGCCATAAAAAAATGGTGAACTAATACATTTTGTAACAACCCGGATGGAGTGGAGACCATTCTCCTAAGTGAAGTATCACAAGAATGGAAAGGCAAACACCATATATACTCACTATTAAATTGGAACTAATCAATCAACACTCATGTGCACATATGGAAGTAAAACTCAACAGAAATCAAGCAGGGCAGAGGAAGAGCAGATGTGTAAAATCACACCTAGCAGGTACAATGCACATTATCTGGTGGTGGGCACACTTATAACTTTGACTCCAACTGTACAAAAGCAATTCATGCAGCCAAAACATTTGTACGCCCGTAAAATTCGGAAATAAAAGAAAAATTGTATCAACAACTGGGTGATTTGCTCAATTTAGTAGAAAAAAGTATTTGTCAGAACTCTTATTTTGCCTTTTAAAAAATTCGTCCCTAACCATAATTAAGAAGCTTGTTTGACATGCTGAGGAATACCGTAAGAAACACCACATCTCATGGTTTCTGTGGGTCCAGAATCCAGGCACAGCTTAGTTGGGGCTTTCACTGAAGGTCTCACAAAACTGCAGTCAAGGTGTCAGCCAGACTCTGTTCTTAACTAGAGGCTCAACTTAGGGAAAAATCTGCTTCTAAGCTCACTTGGGATGTCAGCAAAAAACCACGGAGAGCTTCAGTTTATGTGCTGTCAGCTGGAAGCTGCCCCCAGAGTCTGCAGGCAGCCCACGGTTCCGGCTGAGCGTTCCCTCCCTAGCAGTGCAGCATGGCAGCTGGCTCTTCCAGGGCCAGTGGGAGCGCGAGTGAGTCGGCTACCAGGACAGAGTCTTACATAACATGACATAATCACAGGAGCCATGTCCCATCACCTGTGCTGTGTTCCTTTGGTCCCACCCACGCTCAAGGGGAGAGATTATAAGACATGAGCAACTGGAGTTGGGATGATAGGAGTACCCAGAGCCTGCCCACCACAAGGAGCTTTGTGAGTTTTGCCTACCACCGAATCCCTAGAGCCCCCAATCAGTGCCCAACACATATGAGACACTCAATAAGTATGCGTAGTTTAATGAATTAATGAATTAATTAATGCAGATATTACTTTTTTGAGCTGTGCATTGCAAATGTTTTCACCCCAAGACTGTGGTTTATATCTGTACAGAAATACTACATTTTAATTTAGACAAATCAACACATTTTTGCCTATATCTTCACCTAGATTTTTAATGACTTCTTTTTTTCACATTTACTTCTGCTTTATCTGGAAGGTCAAGAACTAAACAGAAGGCCAGGCGTGGTGGCTCATGCCTGTAATCCTAGCACTCTGGGAGGCTGAAGCGGGTGGATCGTTTGAGCTCAGGAGTTTGAGACCAGCCTGAGCAAGAGTGAGACCTCGTCTCTACTCAAAAAATAGAAAGAAATTGGCTGGACAACTAAAAATATATAGAAAAAATTAGCCGGGCATGGTGGTGCATGCCTGTAGTCCCAGCTACTCGGGA